CAAAATATTAGAAAATCAACCATAAAACTTGTTAATGCTGAATCGTCGGTGGATTTTTTGAACAACTGTATATATATATATGTATATATGAGCGTTCAATCATATATATTCAAATACAGATTCATGCATTTTTTATTGTTAGATAACCAACTTTTTTAGTTTTCATTTTTGTTATTTTATCTATTACTTATATATTAACATTATTACTATTCTTATTAGCTTGGTGGTTGGCTGTTTGGCGAGTTCCGGTGAGAGAAATGTTGAATTTTTCTAAATCGCGCTAAATAATTCTTATTGATATTGATATAGTCGTTTTAATTCGTCTGTGCGGGAAGACATCTTGTTGATTTTTTTGAAAAATGAATAAATTGACTATTAGAAGGGGTTTAAAGTTTTTCCGTGCGTTGATAATCTACACTCTTGTTCTGACAATTTTGACTTCGCTTTATTTGGTTGGTTAGAGAATAATTAAAATTTTAATTTTAGTGGTTTTTAATTTTTATTAATCAGCGTTTATTATTTTTATTTTTCTATTGTTATTAATTATAATTATTTATAATTAATATTAAAATTAAATATATCATGTGCTCTGTCTACTAATCTAATAAGTTTTAACTTTTATACTTATAGTACTAATGAGCGACTGCATGTTTTGAAAAAAAAAACAAAAAAAAAGAAATAAGAAGTCAGCTCATCTCAATTAGAATAGAAATATCATAGTCTCATACAGACTAGATACAATAACAATCAATACAAAATACATCTAAATGAATGAATGAATAAATTAATTAATTATATATGACTAAAAGATAAAAACCATTAAAACATTTTATCTAATAATGCTAACGTTATATTCTAATTACTAATTAGTAATTTTAATTTGTGTAATTTGTAATAGATTTAAATGATAAATAACAAAATAAAAAAAGATCATTCAGTTAATTTTTTATATGGCAAAGAAAATAAGCTCATTTTCAATTAATTAATTTCCATCATCAATGTCATCAATATTATAAAATTTTCATTTTTAGTCAATATTACTTTCATTTTTTGTCTTCTCTTTTAATTTATTTTTTTTTATTATTATTTATTATAGCAATATCAAGTAAAAATAAAATGTATTATTGGCAATATGTTTTTGTAACACATAATTCAATTTGTGAAGAGTTTTTTGCAGACCAAATATAGGTGTGAAGAAACTTCAAGAGATTTTTTGACAAACTTTTTTTGCTTGAAATTAAAATTGGGAACACCTGAATTTTTAAAAAATGAAACCATAAATGTTAGTTTATTTGTTGGGCAAAATACTCATTATTTTTTCCAATATTATTATGAAATAAAAATGTAAATAAATTAAAATAAATATTACTTTTTTTACTTGAATGCTTATAAATAACATAATTCCCATTGGTAGATTGATAGTAAATAGTTTCCTATTTAATTTAGTCTGTTTTTTTTACTCCTACATCATTATTTCTCATATATATATGTCTCCTCATATATGTGTTTTGCCAGTCACATCTTCTATGTTTGTCTCCCAGCTGATATCTTCACAAGTCTTGTATTATTTGTATTTGTATTGTCGAGGTTGGATTATTGTGACTTGTTGATGTTTGCTGCTGGGGTTGGTGCGATTAAAAAAGTTCAACGCATTCAAAATGCTGCTGCAAGACTGGTTGTTGGGCTTAGTAGACGTGATCACATAACTGGATGGTTGGAGAATCTTCATTAGTTGCTAGTAGGCGAATATTTTTTACAAGATGGCAGTTATTGCTCACTTGCATTCATTGTGTTGGACCGGAATACTTGAAAAAGGTTTTTTTGTAAAAAATCTGAACTGGACATGGGACATGCTTTGCAATCTATCTCCTGTGAATTGATGGTAGACCCCAGAACTAAGACGAAACTGGGTGATAGATGTATGTAAGTTGTTTCGAAAAAACTTAGGAACGATCTACCACTGCGTCATAAACAAATTGCACTAATAGAAAAATTCAAACAGGAACCGAAGATGCATGAAATAAATCAATAGAAAAATAATTAAAATGAACAAAATTTAAAATAAATGAATAAATATTTATTAATGAACTATAAAATGTAATAATTGTAAAATTTGATGAGTTTAATGGAAACTAAACAGTAAAATTCTAAAAAATGTGCTAGGGTACGTTCGAGGGCAAGTATAGGTATTAAAAATATATGCTTAAGACCTAATCACCATATTTGCATCAGTCAGATACAAGCTTAATTCTTTTCACTTCGAATCATTTTTCGTATAGCATATACTCTACACAATATATTTACATTTATTGATTAATAAATATTACATGGTCACATGAACAAGTGATTGTATACGTAGCCTACTAACGTAATTAGGCTGCAGCACAGGCTACGATGTATGTTGTGTGAACGCCTACCCGTTCATATATGGATAAATTTAAATACAAACATACATTACATACAATAATATATTTATTTATAGACATTCAAACTTTGATGACAATTTTGAAACAAAAATCCGGTGCAACCATGGTCCATGAGCCAAAAATAAAAATATTGCAAAAATGCGGTTTACGACATTTAGCAATGTTTACAAAAAAAATTACAACGCGTGTCTTACAACTTTGACATTATTAATATCTACACAACAGGATTTTTCTGTCGGCACGTTATTGATATACAGTTTCTTTTCTTCTAGAGCTGTGTCAATTGCAAAATTAGTAACACCGCAAATTTGACTCGTTTCAGTCAAGTTAAGGTTCAGTTTATTTGGTTTATAGCTAGCAGTTCGAAAGTTCGGATTTTGTTTGGTTTGGTTCGTTTCGGTTCGGTTGTATGCAAAAATCGAGTTCGGTTCTGTTTGTTCGCAAGCGAAGTTCGGGTTTGGTTCAGTCTTAAGAGGGGTTCGAGTTCGGTTTGATTTTCATCTCTAAACTTAACTGTAAGAAAGGCTTTAATTTTTTATTTTCTTTGGTATTTAAATTTATTTCTAAAAGTTATTTAAATGTAATGACAAGTGAAAATATAGCTTGCCATGTTAAGCAAATGCCAAAATAGTTGCAAAATGGTTAGGAAAAGTTTAAATACTTGTTTTTAGTTCGGTTAATTATTTTCAAAAATTTAGTTTGTAACCATTAGTTAAACTGTTTATTTTTAGTTGCAAAACAGTTTTAGTTTAACTGAAAATATTTAACAAGCTGCTAATCACTGAAGTGTTTTGAAATAGACTAGAGCTGTACCTATACAGTAAAGTAAAGCCTAGGCATTCTCTGAGAAGTGGCTAGTAACTGGTCAAAAGTAATTTTTTTTACTGCACTTGTTTCAGAAATATCTATAACATACAAACTCTGTGTGCGTGCGTGATTACACATGAGAACCGCAAATCACATACATTGACACATTCATACCATGAAGCTGCAATGCAAGGCTAGAAGTCTTTAACCAGTACATTTACAATACATTAATATTATTTTCAATTAGTTTTCATGCCCTCCCAAAAATTAATATTTTTCAAGATGTATGATTTTTTGAATCATATTGAAGTTTCCTATCCAAGTTATCTCTGGAGTCACACAGGATGGATTGAAAATTTAGATGTTTTTTATGACATTGATCAATGGAGATATGAAAAGTTGAGAGTTCATGTTGTCCCATTCTCTCACAATGATCCAGGTAGATCTCAATTAAACTTGGTTTAGCAGTTGAGTTTTGATAAATAGTTTACAAATTTTTTATTTGTTAATCTTTGTGTTGAAATAAGGCGTTATATTCTCAAAAATATATTTTTTCGTTTTTAAAGGGAATTAAAAAATGTGTTTGTTCGATCAAAACATTTTGTTGGAAAAAGCATGTTAACTGCTTTGGATTTTTAAGATTTCATGTTTTAAATTTTCGATGGACAAAAATATTTATTTTCAAGAGTGGGGAGTAATTTATGAGCCCATGTTATTTTTATTGGTTTTTGTAAATATTTAGCAGATAAATTTTTATGAATAATGAGTCGACAAAACATTTTATGGTTTTTCCAATTTAATTATAATTAATGAAATTTGACTCATTTTTCAGTGAAGTTTTTTCAAAATAATTAACTTACATATAAAATAACATGTAAGTAACTCTGCGTATAACTGCATTATGAAGAACAAAAAAAGATATAGTAACTATATTTTTTTTTACAAGTTAATTACAGTAGTTACTACTTTTTAAAAGTAGTTAGCCAGGCCCGGTTCTAAGCATAGGCGGCACATTATAAAGTTTTTAAGGGCGGCATTTTCTCTAAAAAAGTTATTAATTTTAATTAATTTTTGGTAATGTAAAACTTTCAAGTGTTAACATTTTTACTTCTAGTAGTTTATTTTTTAATGAGGTTAGCTTTTATATAATCTTTTTTTCCCAGTTTTCAATTTAATCTAAGGAAGCGGTCTTTTAAAAATTTATCAAACTTCTTATTTTAGGATTTTAATATATTTATTCATCGAAACTTGTTCTCTTATCTTTCGATAGCTCTTCGAGTTCTTCTAACCTTACCAGTCACTGCCGTTAGTGCCGAAAGGAGTTTTTCAAAGTTAAAAATAATAAAATCGTATCTGAAGTCTCAAATGTTTCAAGATCATTCGGTTGTCTTGCTACCATTTCAATCAAAAAAAAAAAATAGCTGATTAATTGGGTATGAGAGGATAAAAAAATTTTTAAATTTAAAGCCAGAAAAATGAAATTCATTTTAAAATACATTTTATATAAATTATATTGCATAGTTTAAATTGTATTGCATAGTTTAAATTGTACAGAAACCCAAATAACTCATTATATTTTAATTTTTGTTAATGTGTATTTTTTTATATGAATCGATTTATTTGTGTAAAGTTTGTTTTCAAATGATTTTTCTAATTAAGTAAAATTAGTTTGGAATTAGGATAATCAGATTTTGTTTTATTTTTTTAATCCAAAATTATTGGAGAGGGGTGGCAAATTCGCATGTTGCCTGTGCGTATGCACCGGACCTGTAGTTAGCACATAACTGTTGATAATAATAAAGTAGCAGTAACGATAATATTGCAAACGCAAATATAGTATACATGTTTTTAAGAATAATTGAGCTACATGTGGAAAATTATGAACTGAACGTACGCTTAGAGTAATCGCTTTTCGCTAATAATAGCCTTTAGCTACTGAATTTATAACTATAGATTTATATTCATCAAGGATGGAAATTGACGCCTGATTCATATTTTTCTGCATTTACAAAAAACATTTTGGATATTGTTTTGGATAAACTTCATTTTAATGAAGAAATGACTTTTACGTGGTCTGAAGTCATACTATTAAAGAGATGGTATAATTCACTTTCATTGCCAAACAAAGAAAAATTTAAAAGGTTTTTGTCGTTTTGCAACATGAGAACTTACTATAATACGTGAAATCGGGCGGCACAATGATGTAACGGTAAATTGCCTGACGCTGCTATTGCAGTTACTGGATTCGATTATATAAAGATCCACGCTTATCACGTGACATGCAATGTGTATGATGCTTGTTTCACGTATTTACATGCGCGGTGTGTTTGTTGTTGAAATGAAAATGGCAATAAAAATTTTGAATTTGTAATTATAGAAGGGTCTAATTTGATTGAATAATATCCTACATGCCACTGACGCTGGTTACTTTCAACAAATTTGTTAAATTTTTCGGCATATAAACGTCAAAAAAGTCAGACTTGAAAGCGTTTCATTAAATGAAAGTTTTCAAGTGTTTTTAATTAAATATTAGCTTGATACTCTAAAAAAGCCGCTGATTAATTAGTAGAAAATTATGTGTTACGCAAAGCTTTTCAGACTAACAAAATCAAACTCTGTCACGCGCAGGCGCAAATTACAAAAAATTAGAATGAAAATATATATGGCATTGATATGAAAAGATACGTTGAGAATTGATGTGGATGTGTCACACAATATTTATAGCTGGTTTGTGTGGATGTTCTCTAGGTGGAGTAATTTTTTTGTTCAAATGATTTGGTTTAACTGAGTGAAAGATTGTTTTAATTTGACTATGTTATAACTAGAAAAATAAGTCCAGTTTAGGTTTATATTCTGTTCAGCATTAGTTCAAATGATTGTTAATGTGCATGTGCAATCAGCCTGTTCAGATGTTAACTGTGTGACACTCAAAGACAATGAGAAACAGAAAAGTAAAATTCTTAAAAAATAAATATTGGAGATGGTACTTTAGAAACATTAAAATAATGGCTAATTTTGTCAAATTTTTTAACATTAAATAAAATTCCCATATTCTTATAAAAAAAATGTCATGTTGTCCTGCCACCCCAGCCCGGCGTGAAATGAGTAAATAAGGTAGGGGTAGATGAGTAGTAAAGAAGTTTTTAAATATGATTAGGTAGTTTAAATTTCAGTTTGTAAAGAATAATACCAACACTTTCCTTGTTTTAAATGACGTCAGAAACTAAATTTATCAATTTGTTCAAATAGACAAGTGCGTTTTCAGTTAAACAATTTCTCACTATCGGCGCCATTTTTAATTTAAATCTTAAGCATAAATAACGTTGTTACGGGATCATAAAAATATATTGTAGGTAAACAATGACTGTCTTTTATTCGGTAAAATCTACTGAAAACCAATGAGGTTCTTTTTTCATTTAGGACAAATTTCTTTCATGTTGAGACTTAAGCTAGTAATCTAACTGCATAGTTAAGAACCGATTGACTGGTTACGAAAACAAAGGTTAAAGGTCGTTCTATCTTGTGCACTTGCTTCAGAGGTGTCAACAACAAACACACACAGCCTATACGAATACGCGTGAAAACCACGCATCACACAATAGACGGGAATTTGTTTGCATTCGAATCCAGTCACTGCACTGGCGAGACCAGGCGCCTTTAACCATTGCGCCATCAGGCCGTCCGAGTAGTGTTTTGTTATCAGTTTTTGTTACACTAGTATCTTTAATAGTTTTTAATCATACTAATTTAGATTAAAATAGTTTTGTAAAATTGTTTTGTTTAAAAAAATTTAGCTTGGTTAGGAATGGTAGATTTGAGATTGTAACTGGAGGCATGGTTATGGTAGACGAAGCGTTAGTTCATTATGAATCTATGGTTGACCAGCTGATCAGTGGTCATCAATGGATTCAAAAAGAACTCAGTGAGTTGATATATTTTTAATGATATAATATAGACAATCTAGTTCATCTATGTAATAAAAATTACATAAAAGATTATAAAGTGAAATCAGCTTGGTCACTTGATTCGTTTGGACATTCTCCAACTTTGACTTATTTATTAAAGAAATCGGGAATACAAAACTTGTTCATTCAACGTACTCACTACAGCGTGAAAAGAGTTCTATCAACTACAAAGAAAATTGAATTCAATTGGATTACCAGCAAGGGTTTCGTGATCATTTATAAATTTTACGTTATTTATTTTTAAAAATTTTATTGAAGATTAATTTTTTGTGTTATATTGTAAAAATCTATTTATTTGCCAAGATATAGTTCGAAAATATGTAACAGAGAGGTTAAATTACCGTGCCATTATTTAAATTTCAGTTGGTCTACATGAAAAATGAGATTTCATAATTTAAAGCTCAGTGGAGTGTTAATAATTAGGTTATTAATTAAAAAAGAAAGACCAGTTAAAAGATTCTTTATTATTCAATTTGTCAAAACACAAGTTGGAATAAAGAGAAGCGAAAAATAACGAACCCAAAAACACTCTCTATTTAACTTGCTGAAGTTTAAGCCAATTTAAATGAAAATATTTTTCCAAGATGAGAGCTTATTTACTCACATGAGTCCATTCACATTATATTCAACATCGCATTCGTGCGGACCTGATGTTGATGTATGTTGCCAGTTTGACTTTACAAAAAGAAGGTGTTGGCAATGGGGGACATATGTTGATGCTGACGAAATAACAAATGATAACATCGTCGAAAAGTTCGTTTTCACTTTTGTTTCGATCGTACATAATTTAGAATCAGCGAAAGAAATAGCAAATGTCAAAGGAGTGACTGTTGCAGGCTTATATAAGTTAATATTCATTACCGTTTGGTCTATGAATTTTACAATAGCCTCATTAATTCTGTAATATTGTCATTTTATACTGAACATGATTGACTGATTCAATTAAAACTAATCTGTGCTTGTTGTACTCATTTTTTCTGGTTGACGATCTTCGTAGATAATAAATTCAATTTAGTTAATTTTAATTAGCATTTATTAATTTGTTTCAATTGTATTTTTTATAGCATGTTTTTATTATGACAAAAATAAAAGATGTTCACATTATTATTATTGTTTCTGATATTATTGATTTGTTGTTGTCGTCGTCGTCGTCATCGTTGTTGTAGTTGTTCTTAGGTCAGACGTTCGATTCCTCCAACTTCCTGAGGGTTTTGCTCACCATTGCCGTCGCCTCTAGTAGATGTTCGCTCATCTCTCCAAGACGCTGACCCAGGTTGAATGTGTTTCTAATAGTTAACATCCAAAGGTGTAAAGGTGTGGAACTTTTTCTGCCGCTACTCCACATAGTCTACATTGGTCTTCCACTTCAAGGCCAATGCGTGTCCTGTATCCTCTCAGGGCTATATGATGACCCATACTATATCTACTCAGATCAGTTCCTGACCTTTTATCAATCCTTTCTTCCACCATTCCTGTAGTTGCTGTGTAGGCCTCTTTCTTTCGAGTATGGTTCATTGGCTTAATCGGGATCAGGCGTCCAGTTCTGTCATGTTTGTTGTATGTTCAGGTTGGAACCTTTTAATTTTATTGGCTTTCATTCATTTCATTCCATCAAATTCATTCCATTTCATCTTTCAGCTCCTTACCACGTTTTAAACAGAAAAATATATAACCGTTTCTTTGGTGAAATACTAGTAGATGAATGGACTTTTTTGGTTGATGTTATTCACATCAAATTTTTTATAAATTTTATTTGTGTGTTAATAACTCGTTGGTTCGTTTTTTATTCATAGAGATTGTTTGTAAGAAATTGTATTCATACAGATTAAGTAAGCTTCCTGCGGTAGGGATCAATAAATATTTTTGTCCTAAGTCATCCAACTAGTCTGAAGTTTAGTATTAATTTGTCTGAACGGTGACCTGCCTCAAGAAAATGTCTTAGGTTGATAATGTAGTGCGGAATAATGTCTCTCTCTTGAGGTTACCTATATTTTGTGAAGTTGTTTTGGTTCCTTATTAAATGTAGGCATATTGATTTGACCATGTTATGTCCACAAGTCAGTGCTATCTATGTTATTTCGTGCTACTTAAAAAATTTAGATCTGTTGTATTAAGTTACCATAGCCATGTTTTCATTTTCAGGTCACAAATGTTGTTGGATCAATTGCGAAAAAAAGTTCAATTTGTTAACCACAATGATGTTTATCTTTTGGTTGGAGATGATTTCAGTTTTAGTAACACTTTGGATTGGGAAATTCAATGGAATAATATGTTGAAATTATTCAATCACATGAATGAGTACGAGCATTATAATGTTGAAGTAATTATTAATAGATGATTTTTTCAATGCTAATGTTTTATATGTAACTGCTTTGTTTTATAATTTAGCAAAAAGGCATTACTATCACAACTTGTGTTGTAAAATATGTTTTATATTAGTTTTACCAGGATATATATGTAACGGTGACGTTAGTTATAATCAAAGATCTTCAGTTTTAAAGAAAAAGGTATAAGAATAGATAAGTTTAATCTAAACGGCGAAATTGTTTAGTGGTTACAGGCGTGGTCCTGCGTTTTAGTGGCTGGATACGATTGTAAAAGAATTTCGCGCATATGCTTATGCAGACTTATTAATTAAAATTAATTCGTCATCTAGTGCAGTTCTACATCTGTAGTATTGGTGGCGAGTAGAATCTTTCTCCACCTTTTTCTATTTTCTGTTGTTCTGCTCGCTGTTGATTTTCGCTATGTTGATTTTCACACCACTCCATTCTTCTGTCATCAATTTAGAGTCATTTTTATCTTTCTCTTTTTTTCTTGTGCATTTTTGTATGATCTCTTTTCCTAGGCTATTTCGTTTTCTAGTTGTTAGACCAATGTAACTCAACTTCAGCTTCTGCTTTTCCCAGTAACTCCTTCCGTTCCTAATTTTTCGAGCAACCAGTTTTGCAGCATCAAAAGCTTTTTTTTCTTTTTGTGAATTTGACTGATAGTATGTTTTCTCCAAACTTTCTTTGCATGTATTGCTTCGTCCTACAGGTGACATTGATGGCGAAAATTGCTTAACTTTATTGTTTTTGTATGAGCTGGATCGTGTTTATCGAGAGTAAACATCAAATAAATAGTTTTGGTTATGAATGGAGAACTGATCATGAATTAATATAGTTTATAGCACACTACAATTATTAGACATTTTGTTCATTGATTAAAACATGCATAAAATTTTATACATTGCTCAAAAACTAATTGTTTGAAAATAATAAACATTTAAGTTTAGATTTTCAACAATTGGAAATTACTTAAGATCTGCGGAAGCTAAATTAAAAGGAATGAATTTTTCAATTCCTTATCTGGATGGCGACTTCTATCCATACTCAGATCGATCTGATCAATATTGGTCAGGTTTCTACAGCAGTCGGCCTTTTTTAAAGCAATTAATTAGAAATTGTCAGTCCTTGGTTAGGTAATTTAATAAATTTTTAAAAATTGTTTTTTTTATGAAAATTGAATAAACAAATTTTAAAAGTTTATTTTAACCGCTGTATTAACATCACTTTTTAACACTACTACAACTAGTTACAAGTGTAAAGCAGTGGATAATCATTCCTGATTTGTTGATGTGCTCCAATGTTGCTTTATTTTCCACACCTGAGGGCCGTCATATCTGTTTAATTCTATTCAATTTTATTAGTTTAATGCTGTAGACCCGAAGCGAAATTGTTATAAAGAAAAGAGCATAAATTCAATTTACACAGCGAGACTGAAATATAAAGTTTTTTAATGTTTAGCAAACCTACGTAAATTAAATAGAATTCTTAGAAAAAATTAATTTGGAAAGAAGAAAAAAAGTATTATAAATAGTTTTTATCGAGAGAAAATTAAGAATACAATTGTCACGCCCTATAAAAATTTTTAGAAATCTTTGTATATAAAATATCTAAATACGAACAATATGAGTTGGAAATACTGGTTCAGTAATAATTTTTATAATTAAAATTATTGAAATAATTATTAGTCTTTAGATGTATATAAATTAAAAATGAAGAAAAATAATTTGTTTGAAGGTTTACATAATAAAAAATAATCTGCAATAATATAATCATTAGTTTTAATGGAAAGTTCATACGTAAACTTGGTTTCAATACATTTCAATGTGGTTTACCAAACCTGAGAGCCGACATCTGTTAAATTTTATTTAATTTTATTAGCAAAATGCTGGAGACCCGAAGCATTTTTTTTGTTTTTCTTTTTTATCTTTGTTTCATGTTTTCAATCAATCAATCTTCGTTTGCGTCCAGAGACCCGGTTTCCCGAGGTAGGACGTTGTTTTCTTTGCCATCAACTTTTTGCGCCAAATTAGACGATCAGTTGTATCCATTTCATTTAAATTTAGAGCTTTCATGTCTTGCTCGATTGTTTGCGACCAGGACTTCTTTGGACGGCCTTTGGGACGTGTGCCAGGTACTTCAACATCTGCAAGAGAAGTTATGGCACTGTTTCCACTTCGTTTGACATGACCAAACCACCGCAGACGGTGTTGCCGGCATTCGTCCTTTATATCATCTAAACCAGCACGACGCAGGATTTCGGTAGATTTGATATGGTCCTTCAGACTAATTCGTTGCATCCATCGGAGCATTTTCATGTCGATTCGTTGAAGTTGTTGTTCCAGTTTGGTTGTCATTGGCCATGTTTCTGCACCATATAACAACACCGGACGTATCACAGATTTATAAAGTCTTGATCGTAGTGGTAGTGGGATGTCACGTCGCATCAATATAGAGGCAAGGAGATGCTATTTATTCCAGGCTGCACGTATGCGTGATCGAACGGCAGCTTCAGCTGTTCCAGTACAATCCAGAACATCCCCTAAATATTGAAACGATGTGACTTTCTCTACCTTAATGGCTTCAAAAACAGTGCTATTTCGAATTTGTTGTTGTGGATTGATGCAAGCAGGACAAACAAAATTGGACACTATGGATAAAGTACCAATTATTTTTGAACAACGTTTGTAACACCACTGGTTACACTGCTGACACTTGATTGAATTGTTACCTACACCAGTTTTACAAACTGAACAGGGCCATCGTCCAGTAGCTGTGGATTGGATGGGTGGTTCACCAGTGTTCATTGCTTTGGTTTTGCTGATGTTGACTTTGAATCCATGATCGGCGAGTCTGGTGTTCCAATCTTCAAACATCTATGCTGCATTCTGCTCAGACGTGGCTGTTAAAACGATATCATCAGCATATACTAGATTCCAAATGTCACCAGTGCGTATCTGTTTTGTGATTTCTTCCATCACAGTTATAAATAACAGTGGACTGAGAATCGAGCCTTGGTGAACTCCAACGCCGATGTCAAATGCATCTGTGTTTCCAACCGTTGTGCTGACAAGAGTCTTAGTATTCGTATACATTTCCATCTCAAGTCGAACAAGATATTCTGGAATGAGTTGTCGACGTAGACTCCACCTGATTGCTTCACGGGGAACTCGATCAAATGCTTTTTCAAGGTCTACAAAAATGTGTGATAGTTGTTGATGCTTTGCGAAGTACTTCTCTTGCAGTTGCCGAAGGATGTGAATTGCATCAATTGTTGATTTCCCCAATAGAAAACCAAATTGATAATTTCCGATTGTGATGCACGACGTTAATCTTCTGTCAATGATTTTTTAGGGGCCGTTGTTTTTCTTTGTGATGGCATAAGAGTAATTTGGGGAAAAGTTTTTACATCCGGACACCCATCCTGACGACAACCACCAGTTATAAGCGGTGGGCCTAGCCTTTCGCTCAAAAGCACGCAAGGCAGCTTGGATGCAGTTTTATGTCATGCCCAGGACCATTTTGTTTCATGTTTTGAAAATTTGAAATTAAAATATGAATATTCAGAAATTTTACAAAAATGTGTAAATAAATTTAATAATAATAATTTAATATTTAATATACTGACCTAATTATTATGCCTAACACCTATCTTTATTTCGACAAAACTAATCATCTTGTTACCAATCTCATTGCTGCTCTTTGGCCCCAATAGAGGTTTATAATAACTCTCGTGTATTTTTCAATGTTTATTTCCATCAGCTCCAGGTGTTTCACGCTATCAAAAGCTTTGGAATAATCGATATAACATATAAACAAATTTTTTTTCATTTCAATCGCTCGTTCACTGATCATTCATAGTATGAAGATGGAGTTTCTTGTGCCACAATCCTCGAAAAAACCTCATTGAACCTTTGAAATTTCAAATCTGATTTTGCTTCGTTCTTTCATCGTTAGAATTTTTAAGAAAAGTTTTGTAAGATGGCTGATTGTTCGATGTAATTCACATTCGGTTGCATTATGTTTTTTAGTCAATGCTATAAATATTGACTTGGATAAATCTTTAGGAACCATCGATGAACACAAACCAAACTAAATATAAGCAACATAAAATCTAATTCTATTGATATAAATAAGATTTTAATTAAAAATTAAATGGTCGTAGATTCCATTCAAATATGTGGTTGTATCGATTATTTTTATTGTGACCGCAAGTAGTTGGTGGTGCGTCAATGCTTGAAAATACTACGAAGATATTGAGCCAAACGTCTCGCCGGGCTACAGATTTTTGTGGTTAGGATCTGCAACGTTGATTTAGCGTTAGAGCACATCTGTTTAGCAGGATTAATTAACTATTAACAGAGAATCAAACGCAGTCTGGCGGTCGACATTTTTAGAACAGTGGACAGTTACAAAAAGACTAGAATTCTCTCCGTGTATAAAGAACGACGTCACATTTTTTATTACGCTCTCCTCTAATAAGTTTTGTGTCAAACTGAGTATATATATTATTGTATTAAGTATATATATGTGAATTGAATCTAGAGTAATTTGTATCTTTTAATAAGCGGTTACTTTTGAAATCTATTAACTATTTAAAAACTATTTAATAAGCAGTTACATTTGAAAACATTTGAAAATGCCTAAGTTTATAAGAGGAAAATATTTAATATAAATAATATAAAGTTAAGTTCGCGCAATTATGTTTACATTTTTTAGGTTTGTGGAATTGGCGCTTACATTTTCATCTCTAAAGATGATACGAATGAAATCCGAAAGAATTGACATGTTGATTGGTTTACTCAAATCATATAATGACTTTAAAGATGAATATCATTTATTGCAAGTAAGATTTTTTCTATCCGGTTAAAATTAAAGCTTTTATTGATGCTTCAAAATTGTTTCATGTTATTGTCCGACTGTTTATCTTGACGTTTGCTACATTCAAAATTTGTAAGGTATTCCATTGTCTATTTGTTTTTTAAACATCTCAGCTTTTAATAAGGCTGTTGAATTATATTATAATTGGCTATACAACAGCCATTCAACTTTTTCGAATTAAAAAATTTTTAACAGGTTTTTATAATCATTCCTCAAGTTTGCACAACGCGAAAAAAGTTTGTAAAACCTAATGAAAGCATCTAGTTTCTTTAGGATTTTATATAAAAAAAAACCTAAAAGTTCTTCATAAATCGCCAAAACTTAAGTATTTAAAAAAATAAATATTTTGAATTTTAAAAGTAGTCAAAAAATTTGTGTTGTTTTCAATTAATTGGTAATCATAATGTCGTAACTTTTTAAATTTAGCATTACATGGTCGGTTGTGTCAAAACTTTATTTTTCATATCGCACTGTTAAAACATGAAATTTTTTGAAAGCTGCCTCTTAATCTATGAAACTTGAAAAACCACCTAAGAAACCTGAGGCTTTAACAGTCCTGTACTAGATGAATTCAAAAAGATCATCTATTAACTTACTTGTGTAACGATGTAACGTAAGATTATTCTAAATAATGTTGATTATTATCTAATAGATTTTATCATCTGTGAAAAGTTTCAGTTATCTTTAACCATATGTGTAATTAAAAAATAGTGACATGTGTGTGAAACCAAAGAGCATTGATTTTTTTATTTCACATCATCACTCAAATGAATTAAATTAACGGTTTTGAAATAAAAAGATATTGTTCTAAAATGTGGGGTTGAAACAAAAATGCTTTTTTACTTTTCGTTTTGCATCGTTTACCATTTTGAAAACTTTATTCAATAGTATTTACTTCGGAGCAATGCATGAAACGTGAAGCCCATCTTGTAGATTTTTACCATAAACTTTTTTTATTATTCTCAAGTTGATGAATGAAAATTTTTTCAGCACCATGATATTATAACCGGAACATCCAGAGCTTACGTTGTTAACGACATAATAAACAAGTCTGTTTTTCAGCAATAAAGTTTTATTAAGATTGTGTTCATTGAATTATCTTCAATAATTACAAATGTATTAATTAATATTGTAAATATAGTATAATTGTAATTGATTTACTTTTCAGATATTTTTTCAAACTTTTTTAAAATTAGGATTAACGTTTTCAACAATGCAACAATCAACTTGACCAACGTGATAATGTCATTTTTGGTTTA